TTGACGTGGCTGGGATTCCAGAACCATTACAGGACGAAATAACCGATCGAAAGCGAAGGCAAGTAAGTTTACGCTTGTTTATGTTAATTTTTCTTTTGTCATATGTAAATTCGATATAAGGTTTGTAGATTATTCGACATACTCTCCATAAGCCATAGCTGAAGGAAACATGTTTTTTCGATGAGGAAGTACCATCTACTAGTGATGGAGCTGAGCATGTTGAAGTATGCACTGGGGAAGCAAACGATTCGCCATTTGAAGAAGAACTACATGCAGTTGGTGAAGATATTTGTGAATCCCAGTCTCCATGTAAATCGTGCCATCGTCTTAAGAAAAAACTTACATCTTTACAAAAGACTTTAAGCTGGTATAAAAGACAAAAGCATCTTTGAAGAAAAAGGCCCAGAAGTTGCAAAATGAATATCGAAGCGAAATCAGGGAAAATCGTAATACATCCGTGGTGACCAGCATTAATATAGACGATGGAATGCAGGGGAGTGCTGAAGAGCTTTTCGAAAGAGAATCATACATGGACTACTCCTCTTTCGAAGAGTCTAGTCAGAGTGAAGATTTAGATGAAGATACCACAAGTAATACAGTCAGGTATTTTATCTTATAAAGAATTAGATCTCTGTTCTATTTCATAATAATGAATTTTCTTAATCGTGTTACAGAATTGATGAAGGAGCAAGCTCGCATGAGCAACCTATGCTCATGGTATTTTACATCTCATTGGTTGAGTTATTTGAAACATTTTGCTTTAACTGCAAGGCTGAAAATCCAAAAGTACACATTAAAAACATTTAATGATTGTGATGCTTGGCGGCGATAAGCACGTCCATTCCTATCTCTCAATAGTGGCCCAACGTTTTCAAGGGCAGCCTCATGAACTAAAGGCCCAAATTTGGCATGCTGTGTTCAGTGGCGTATCTAGCGGTCTGGCTGGTCGGGCCCAGCCCGACCAAATATTTTCCCAAAAATGAAAAATTTGTTTTCTTTAAAGTTGGATTTGCGAAAATTTTAAATTCTGCGACTCTTTTTGGAATAATCCACAGTCTATTAGTGTAATATTTGTCAAATTGCGTCGTTATTAGCAAAATTATCATATTTTTAAACGTTACTTAGCAACAATGACTAGTGCATTTCTAGTGCCAGGCATTACGCAGTTTAGTCGGGCTCTGAAAATTCAGCCCGACCAAATAGTAAAATCTATAGTGGGATTATCTGCAATCTGATTGGTTGACAGCAACTGAGCAAACTCAAATGCGCTGTTTCGCAACATCTAGTCGGGCTCTGAAAATTCAGCCCGACCAAGTAATAAAATCTATAGTGGGAATATCTGTAATCTGATTGGTTGAGAGTAGCTGTGAACACACTCAAACGTTTAACAACATCTAGTCGGGCTCATTTTCAAAAGCGTGACTTGAATTTTGAGCTTTCGAAATATACTTTCGGAAATCGTGATAACTTACATTACAATGGCTTCGGCTAATGAAATCGATATAATAAGTGAACTACAAAAGAAACCCCTTTCTGTTCGACAATCAGGCGAGCAAAATATACTCGTAAAGCAGCGGCCAACTCCAAATTTACAAGCGACTACAGGCAATAGAAGCTTTCAGGAAAGTTGGTACTCGAAGAAAGATTGGCTTTGTGGTAGCTCAGAAAAGAATGCATTGTTCTGTTGGCCTTGTCTTTTATTTTGCCCTGGATCGTCATCTTCATGGACGCAGACGGGATTCAAAAACATGAAGAATTTCCTATCTGATTATAATAAGCATGAGAAGGCAAAATCGCACATGGGTGCCTACAAGACCTGGAAGACCTACGGTTTTCAGCCTCGTATCGACTGTATCATGTCACAAACTAGACGTGAAGAGATTCAGCGTTATAACGAGGAGGTAAGGCAAAACAGGGAAATGTTGAAAACCATAACAGAAGCTGTTTTATACTTGTCTAGGCAAGAGCTTGCATTTAGGGGGGGCATGATGAATCTAGTAGCAGCATGAATAGAGGAAATTATAGACAGCTACTTGAAAGTTTTGCCAAGATGGATTCTTTTTTTGAAAGGCGATTACATGGAAGGCTTGCTGAAACCCACCTTGCTGGGGGAGGGCGGTTTACTGGAGTCTCTCCTGATATTCAGAATGATTTGATTGATTGTCTTGATAAGATAATAGAGGATGAGATTTTAAAGGAAGTATATTGCTGCACTTTCTTAACTATACAAGTTGATGAGGCAACTGATGTTTCTACCAAAGAACAATTGAGTGTAATTGTTCGAATGGACAAAGGGGAAAGTGTCATTGAAAGACAGCTTGGGTTTGTTGATGTTAGTTGTGATAGGACTGCAACTGCTATATCATCAGTAGTTAAGGGTAAGTTAAGTCAATACAATAATGTGAAATAGAAATTTATTGGACAGACTTATGATGGTGCATCTGTTATGTCTGGTCATCTCAATGGTGTTCAAGCTCAAGTTCAGCAGGATTATCCTTATGCTCAATTTGTTCACTGTGCTGCCCATAGACTAAATCTAGTATTATGTCAAGCTGCATCCTCCATCTCACCTGTTAAGATTTTCTTTGTTAATATTAGTGCTTTCTGCACCTTTACTAGCAACCCCCAAAAGAAAAGCTTACTATCATCCCATAGGCTTGAGTTTCCTAGTCCTGGTGACACAAGATGGTATTATAGGGCTCATGTCATCAATGTCTTGCAGTCTAACTATGAGAAACTGATAGACATATTTGAAAATCTTACTGATAATCCAATAGGTTGGGATGATGAAACGCTAAGTAAGGTTACTGGTTTTTTTGGCTACCTTAAAGGCTTCTTGTTTTGTTTCTTGGTACATGTTTTCTAGAGAATTCTTGAGCAGTCATCCATACTTTATTCTATCTTGCAAGACAAGGACACTGACTTTCATTATGGAATGAGTAGGTTTGAGAGATTCAAGGCCTTTGTTGCTTCTCTGAGAAATGATACAGAATATTGTCAGGTGTACGACCTGTTGAGAAAGTGGACCACCAGTAACCAGGTATGACCAACGGCATAATTACAAACAAATGTATTTTGAAATTCTTGACAATTGTGACTATGCTGACTGAGCGATTTCAGGATATGGAGCGTTTTAGATTTTTGACCTTGTTAACCCTAGGGTTTAAAGATGTGGAAAGGTGAAGTGCCCTCAGAAAAGATAAATCTTCTAAAGGAGGTTTATGGTGATATGTTTGACATACCAATGCTAGTTAGCCAACTTTGTTTTATTTACAGAGATAAAGACTTTCACTGTGATTCATGCGATGAATTATTGAAATATATTTTTCAGTTCCATTATCAATCTAGTATTCCAGAAGTTGTAAACTGTTAAAGATAAATGGGTTTTGTCAATTACAAGTGCTTCAGTTGAGAGGTCATTTTCTGTTTGAAGAGGGTAAAAATTATCTTAGAAATACTATGAGCCAAGGACGTTTTAGTTCTCTTTGCAGGATTTCCATTCACAAAGACATACTGTCAGAGAAAGAAGACACCAACACATTGCATGATGAGGTAGTAAAGAAGTTCATTGAAAAACCACGAAGACTTGCTTTCTTATACAAATAGGTATTCATATATGGCTGATAGCAAGCTGATGATGTCTTACGTCCATGGCAAGTGAGAATTTTTCCGGGAACTTTTTAATGCAGTCAATGATAATTGTCATTTCAGCACGACAATTTCATCACAACTTTTGATAGTTGTTGATGACAAATCTGAGCCTTTTTCGGTTCTTTTGTCAAAGTTTCTTTACAAGATGTACATAGGTATCTATTTATGTATGTATGTATGTATTAGGTATTTATGTATGTGGTGTTGAGAAAATAAATCACATATCTGCAACTATTTTTGAACTGTTTCTCTGCTTTACTATAAGATCCTTCGGCAATTTAAATTAACCAAAATGGTTCTATTTCCTGCATAAATATCACGCATTTGCTTTCTAAGATAGCCCTTTCCGACGTTCTAGGGAGTCTAAATTCGGAAAATTTTCTCGCTCGGCGCCAACCATGGTGGCGTCTCGCGAGCCCGACCAAATGTTTTTCGCTAGCTACGCTACTGGCTGTGTTATGCATGATATTTTCTCAATGCTGCCATCGAATGTCATTTTCTGCAAAGCTGGTCCTATTTCCTTACTGCATCTGTACTCTAATGCGCCTTCTAACAAATCGGTATGACAGCATTGACAATTACACCTGAAACGTGGGAGCATTGTCGTTTAAAAAGTAACTTTATGTATATTACAAACAGGAGAAAAGAACAACTTACCATTCACCGAGTGGAATTACGCCATCACTTCGTTGTTCTAATGTCGTAGGGAGAATTCCATCGGGATCATCTGGAGTATGCACTTCATCACCATCTCCTGCGAGCGGTTCATCGTCATATGCAAAGTCGTTTAAATGCTCGACATAACCCACGGATTCCGAGCTCAAACGATGCATTCAGACATCGAATTCGAATTATCTGAGCACTGATTTCAGGCCATACTTTCCGGAAAACTTGTTTTTTAATATTTTATTGAAAATACTGTCGTTATTTGTTTTTGAGACAAGAAAAACGACAACAAAATCACCTCCTATAATATAATATTATATTGACGGAAAAAGACGTGTTCAACTATCTATGTCACAAGTATCAATATGGCGGCGTAAAAAATTCGCAAATAGTACCCGACTTTGGAGGCAAAATTAAGGAACTTATATTTATCTGTTTAAGTCCAGCGACATGTCATAGTTCTTCAAATAATCCAAATTTTCAAAAAAGGGGCTAAAATTCGTAATATAAGCACTTTAAAAAACGATATACGTATTGCAGCCTGTTTATTTAAAGTATCAAGTTACTCCACTTTAACTATGTATCATATAGTTAGTGGAATGCAGAGAGATATTTGACACGCATAATAACAGCACACACAGCAGGATTAATTGAAGCGATATTTGCTTGAACACTATACAGACCTTTATAAGAAAAATCAATACATTTCTGACAACCACATTCACTCTTTTTTCTCATCAACTCTTGTCGTAGCAAAATAGATACATCTTTTATCTTTAAATCGTCCACCATTTTCAATAACTTTATCACGTTGTTCCTATCATCCTCAACACTCCAAGAACGAAGAACGGTTTGAAAAGTATTTGATGTCTGTTGAAAAGTATTTGATGTCTGTTGAAAAGTATTTGATGTCTGTTGAAAACAAGCCATTTCCAAGGTTTTAGAGTTCGCTACTCCAGCCAAGTTCATATATGCCATTTAAACATGTACATCGTTGTTGCCTATAATTTTTTTCAAATGTAATGGAAGCTTAATACGTGATTTCCTATCAACAAACATTGGTTTATCTAACAGACAGTAGAAAATATTAATGAAAAGTATCTGCAATGAAATTATCTAACATTAATTGAACATAAAACGACATTGAACGTGGCAGACATTGACGAATTTGAGTTTTTGACCATTTTAGAAGAAAACTAATAAAAGGTTTTTAATGAACGTTCGTAGACTGTTTTTGGAAAAAACGTTAATATTGATGTAACATTGTAGATATTGATAAGTCTTTTTTAATTTGAGAATTCAAAATTTGAAGCAAAAAATTTAACTAGTTTCAATCCTTCTAAGCACGGCCCAAATACGTTTTTTACAACAGTAAGCTAAAGATCTTTATTTTACCCACAGGGATGTAAGGAAATTTATCCATGCCATTGATCTGAAAATTAGTACTGATAGAGCTTCTGCACATGAAACTATTATGGAATTGCTTGCCACACTGGGACCATTCCTGGGACCATTCAATTACAATATGACTTAGCTGAGAGATTATGGTATTCTACTTTTTAACATTGTATTTATCCCTTGTCCAATAGCGCACAAATTAAATTTTAAAAAGTTGAAAAACGAAATCGCTCAGCTAACTCTACACCATATTGTAATTGAGTGGTCCCAAGAATCTGGTGTAAACTGGCTTCAATTTTAAAACGTAGAAGCTCTATCCAGGTACTAATTTTTCAGATCAATGCTTCATGCAGGTTAACGCACGTTTATCTATAGGTAACCTTCCAGGTACATAATTAATTTAATGGTGATGATGCACAATGGAGAAACGTGCTTTAAATTTGGTATCAACATCAATATTAACGATAACAGTGTAAGAACACGTGCGTTTCTTATGGAAATGCCTCTGGCAACTACGTTGTCAATCTGCGTGGACACATAAGCCTCAAAATCATCGATTCGTATGAATAGACTCCATATTTATTAGCAAAAAATGTCGTATAACTTCAATCGTTTCAAATCACAATATAATTAGGAAAGCATCTGCGTCAACTGTCACAGCTAAACAACAATTTCTGTTCTACTCTCTCCACTTTCTCCCATTGTATCTACTGCACTTGGAAACTTATTTTTAAGTCCTAGATTGTATTTATTTTCCCAGCCATTAAAATTGTATGATCTTGATCGTGTGTACAAATTATAGTATTTGCACCTTTTTAAAACACTCCGTATATTAAGTACTTTCAATTCTGATCGCAAATCATGGTTGACCATAGACATGACATCAAATAATTTTAAAATAATGATTAATAAATCATTACACGTACGTTATGATTTTATAAAATAATTTGTGGCTTGAATATTATTGCAAATAACAGCAGTTCTAGTCATGTATGACAAAATTTAGGTTTAATATGTCTCATGCATGCCATGATGATAGAAGACTTTATATGAACGAGGCATGTAAATTTGACATTCATGTATAAAGCTCTTAACAAACGCACCGTGGTTAGTCATGCTTGAAACGCCCACAATAAATAAAAAATGTACTCGTTTACAATATTTTCAAGCCATTCACATAATATCAATAAGACGAAGAAACGTTAATACATTCAATTATGCTTTTTGATTTGTAATAACTAAATTATTTGTTGAGTTATTTCATTGCAAGCACAAACCTACGTACTCCAGTAATTTACTTCGAGCACAAACCTACGTACTCGAAATTCATAAATGATTATCAACCTCATGAAGTTGTTTAAAAGGGGTCGTAATGTTGCTAGTGAAAGGCTGAAACTTAGTCTTCAAATAAAAATTTTATCGTGGGATTATGTGATATGTGGTAGCTTGAACACGAGACATTATAATCTGATCAACATTACGTTATTACAAATTTCCTGTTGATACAAATTTCCAAATTGATACAAAATGATTTAGCTCAAATTGCTTTTGCATTCGTAGCAAGGTACGCAGTAGTTTTATGTGTTAGCTATATATAATGGTTAAAGTATTTCCGAAGATATTAGAGAATATACAAACACCACCGGAAATCCTTCTGAATAATACATTTACAGCCCAGACGCAAAAGAAGAGATTCGTCTTTTCGTTATACATGAATGAAAAAACAAGAAAGGAATTCCTACTTACATGAGTGAAGTTAGAAAACAGGATTCGATGACTAAATACACAGAAAAGGTAAACGTATCGATCGAAGACGACAACGACATTGTCGCCTTCAAGTAAAATTGTGCACAGCGGTGGTCTAAATTCAAATTTAAAGCTGTATAAAAATGGAAGACCTTTAGAAATTGACGTATTGTGATAATTTCAATGCCTATCACTATATGTTAAGCCACGGATGTGTGTAGTATTGTCAGCTACTGAGCTACATGCATATATTACATACATAGCTTAATACAGGCACAAAAGCTTTTCTGCTCCCAGAGTCTTAGTAAATAAAAATAATATCTAACAGTAAGATCTGCAAAATAATACATTCTTGGGCTTAGTATGTTTGAGTTTGAATACAGATCATTAATTTATTGTACTTGTTCATCAGATCCTTTTGGAAATTGCCTATATAGCTCGGTGTCATTAATTTTCTTAATTGATTAAAATCTGGTAAACATATTAAGGCTGCTGACCTCTATAGAGGTCTTTGAAAATGCCAAAATTTACTACAATTACCCTCTGTTCCCAACTATTGATAAAAACAATGCTAAATGTTTAAATCACATTGCTAAAATTGACATTTTTTGACTCTGAAGATGACTACCGCTAAGGTTGTCGAAACGTCTGTCAACAACAACAAAAACAGTCCTTCTCAGGACTATACCAGCCTGGACGACCGACATTTGCAAACATGTAACAATACTCCCGGGTTTAAAACCATTTACAAAAATTTTGCTTCAATTTGTATGACAGGAGTGCTTGGATTCAGGTTTGACTAGCAAAGATCTTGTTAAAAAAGAATTATATTTTAAACTGATATGACGAGTAGAACTCATCATGTTTTGGCATTTTGGGCTTGTCTTCTGTCTTTGAAAGATCAATTCACTCATACTATTCTCATTAGGAAATGCTCAAAACGTAATGCAATCATTGACATCCTTAATTAACCCTAAAAATCCTAATCATGTGCACATCTTATTATATTTATGAAGGTACAGCTAAAACTGGTCAAATATTTCAACCTTACCATTTCTATGTTTGCATTTCTATGTTTTTTTTATAATTACATTAAGAGGAAATATTCAAATTATTGCAATCATGCCTCATATTTGTTAAGGTACTGCATGAAGATAATGCTCAATCCAGTGCCACTCTATTGGTTGTATTATGTCGGAATATCTACCTGATTCTGTGCAATTACTGCAACGTTCAAATCAATTTGATTGCAAGCCAATGCATGTTACTACTAATCAATTTGATCAGCCCTTTATAGAGAAATGGCTTTAAGGTATACCTACCTATGATATCTATGAGGTATACCTATATTTGCATTTTCAACAATGTGATTGACACATTCAGATTGGTTTCTATAGTAATGTGATTTGGAAGGTTTTTTAGGTTTCAAAATAATTATCTTTTTCCTCCCTTCAGTGATAAGAGCTAGAGAGCTTTTAGAGATAAGCGATTTGAAGATTTTCAATGGCTATGTTATTTCCCTTCCTTGCATGATGAATTTTGCTTATCTTGTTCAATTATTGGGGACATTTATCCTTCACAATGTTCTAGACGTTTTAAATTAGTAAGTACTCCTTGCAGTTATTGATGGTGTGGGCTGTTAATGTCAGAATCAGGCTGTCAAAAAACGACAGTTAAATTTCTAGGCAGGGTGATGAAACCCTATATATAGGTTGAATCAGCCAAACCGTTTATTAACTATTTCAATGTTGGAAAATGTAGATTTTTACATACAAATGATAGTCATAAAATAGGATTATTGCTCATTTTAAAATGCTGGAAATTGCATTTCCGAGACCCTAGAAAATAAAATTTTCCTGGGGAGCATGCTCTTGGACTCCGAAAATGGTGAACGCCTCCAGCGTCTGCTTCTTGACTCACATTTGAAAAATCGTAGATCCGCCACTGTATATGCGCTACTTTATTGTTGGTTTACCCTTTGTTTTAAATGAACTTCTGCGTTAAAGGATAATGGCAATGACAATTTTTTTCAGACGTTAGTTATAGAAAGCTATGGATTACTTAAATTCGTGTTTTCATAACTCTATTAAATTTTTCTATTGAGATAATTTAACATAAATATCAATGCTTATCCGCCAATTTTTTTAAAAAAGCCCTATGCTAAATTTTCCTCGAATACATTACAGACGTCATTGGCTGGTATCAACCGAGTGTCACAATAGAAAATAGTAGAATTATAAGTATACAGTATATAATATCGCAGATTTGTTCACTGGAATACTAAAACAAAAACAACAGTCGGCTGTTGTTAAGATTTGACAAAAGTTGTGTAGTGTAGCGCTAATATACTTTCTCAATATTTAGTCGTTATAAGACGTAGAAACGTTTATTTTAGCGGATCTTACAACTAGGCTTTCCCGACATACCAAGTGTAAGCCCAGTTAAAATACTCTTTAAATGTGATGTAACGCCGTCAAAATCTCAAAGTAATTGTATTGTTGTTTTGATTGCTTACCAGCCAATGACGTCACTACAGCTCGAGATAATTTTATCCAAATATTATAATAAGATGGTGAAATTTATAAAAATTTGCTGTAAATATCTCATCAACAAAATATTTTTGAAAAAAAATTTGCTATTTTAGTAGTTAGACATCACAACGTTTCAAATATATGCCATAAAAATTTTCTTTGCTAAAATGTCCTTTAACTAAGATGCTGAAGTCAGTTATGGATCGTCGAAAATAGTATTGCAAAATAATTTCTTACACAAAAAACATACCAAGATTGTTTTCTGTAAAAGAAAAAAAGTAGTCGTGAATTCGAGTTTTAAACAAAACATCGTACTCATATTGATGACAGCTATACGTCTTTCTATTGGTTTTAGTTGTCCCAACAATATTTTCGAACCAAAATAAAGTACATTGAAAGCCTCAGTCGTTGTAGTACTTTTGAAAAAACTCTTTAAGACAACAATGCCTACATCGTGTTTGGCTTAGATTTTTTTCAGGTTTTTAGTAGTTGGAACCAAGTATAGTTCAGTTATGAGATAACGTCAATGCACTTATTGTTCTATAAGCAATACATTAAAGTAGGGTTTCATCAAATAATGAAGTAATGACTTTGATGGCTTCAGGTATAATTGCACTTCTTCTTTATTTTCAGAAGCATTATCTATTTTTCTGTGTCCAATTGAGGTATTGAGTCGAAAAATAACTTTGCCAGTTTAAACTTTTGAAGTAAAGATTGCGAACCACTCGAAGTCGTTATTACCGAAATGAATATGACCCAGTCAACTTCAAATTGCAACACGTGGACTAGTTTTATTCCCAAACATTTGCAATCCATGAACTATTCCTTGCTCTGTGAGTATCTTTTTATCTCAAAGTATTTCTAGCTACTGGCAACGTTAAACATCATGATCTGCATGTGTCACTAACATTGAAAAGAAGTTTAAGTTGAGTTTAGAAAATCACCATTAAAAAAGTTGTTTAAAGCAAAAATGAAAAAAGCCAAAATGATGACATTGAATAACATTGACCCACAGTCACTATAACTTTTTTACTATGAAAGGAGAGGAATCGATCTATCTGTAATCTATAGATTTCGGATAACGTATCTGTAGATTATATGACATATTGCAAGTTGACTTTGTCTACACCACGTTCCAAAAAAATTCCTATGTACGATAGAGCGTTCTTTCTAAACTCGCTGCCCAAAGAAGTTAGTGGAAGCTTCAATGAAAAATTTGCAGGTGTACGAGCAATTGTCAATAGAAGTCTAAATTTAACATACACTCACGTGTTAAAAATTAGCCAAAATATATTCAAGTTTACAATAACTGCATGAATAATATTTTTTATTGACATTGTTAAGTACATTAAGAATAAATATACTTCAACTCTTGCTTCAAACAAATAGGTATGATTAGTTTATCAACATTATTAAAAGAGACAAACGCTTTAATTACAAGCAGACACATTGTTTTTAAATCTTAGACAACTGGTAACTTCCAGAGAAAAACGCGGGGATGAACACTAGTGAGTTGTGACTGAAGAAACTTGACACGAATTACCAAAGAACGAGGTCAGGCACTCAGTTTTTTGGCACTTTCGATCAGGTTCATCCACGAAATCCAACGTGTAACAAATTTCAACAGAACGCGAGCAAATAATGAACGTCTTAACAATGTAATCAATCGGAGAAGCTATGGTAACAGTTTGTTATAAATAAATAAAATATAAATAAGTTCCCCGTCAGGAGAATAACTGACAGCATTAAGTAAACTGAAGTAGCTGTGTCCCTTTGGGTGCACAATCAACCTTATTTGATGGGCTAATTGAAATTTCTCAGAATTGTCAGAAAGATTTAAAACGCGCCACACACAAAACAGCCCGTAATCATCACATATTGCAATTTCTTTACGATCTACTTTGAAGACTTACATGGTTTTATAATAATTTATACAAAGTTTTGTCCAACAAATTGTCCTGCTCATTTAGTTTAAAGTAAATGGTTTGAACCCGGGAGTATCGTTATATGTTTGTAAATGATGATCGTCCAGGTTAATAAAGTCCTGAGAAGGACTGTTTCTGTTGTTGTTGGACGACCATCATTTACAATCATTTAAGTTTGATCGTCAAAGCAATAAAATTTAAAAGAAGAAAAATTTATAAAAATTTAAATTGTGATACATCATTATATTTGTGTCACAATGGTTGAATCATTTCGCACGATATTAGAGTTCAAACACTTCCGGTACAGCCATTTTCAATGTTACATTTGTAGCCTCGACGTGACGGAAGAGACCTATCTAAGTTGTCTAACTTGTCTTACGTTGTAAATGACTTGCCTTGTTCATATTTTCCAGGCAGATAAATCAATCCCAAGGGAAGTTAACCATTCTTGCTTGTTTTATCCAAAAGTACTCGACCAAATCTGCTTGCCAGTTTAAGTTAACAAAGAAAGTCATTTATTTAGTATTCATGCTCAGAAATCACTAAGAGCGTATTAAGGGGCTGTTCACATAGCCCGGTAGCTGGGATTCAGTGAAGCATTAAATCTTTTTGGCAAATGGAAAAGATTAAATACTTCAAATCAAAAAAACTTGTTTGAGCAATTTCTCTATGTTCTGAATTTCCAAATTCACAAAACCCTTAAAATGAACCTGAGTGAACTCAGAAACCTTAATGAACTGTTTCCACTAAAAATAAATATATACATAAACGCTAAACAAATATCTGTTTTTGTGGGAAATCATCCAAATCAAGATATATTTCTCTCGTGCATGTTTTCAATAAATATCGACCTAATTTCATGCGTTCATTAAATATCTCCAAAATTCCTTCAGCCTCTGAAGAGGGATTTAAACAACTTTTATGTTTAACATCATTTTATCAGGATGTAAAGCGGTATTTTTAGAGGACTATCCAGTACATTCCAATGAGCTAAAATCATTGTAAAAAATTTTTGACCATTTTTTTGATTTTCTTTAAGTGTTAGTTTGGTGCATTTAACATTAGCTTGAAAGAAGTAACTCACACATGTAAAGTAAACACAAACACAGTATAGGAAAATACAGTTAGGTCCACTTCGTGTGCAACTGGCTGCTGTATATTTAATTAGATTACATCATTCCTATTGGTCAAAAAAAGCAATTGATTGGCTGCCACTATGGTAATTACATGCGTAATAAGATATGCGTGGCAGGAAAAAAATCAATGGAGTGGCTCTACTGTATATTCTCGATACTGTGACACAAATGTTTTGCTTATCATCGTCAAAATAAATTTAATGGTGTGTGGTTGACTAACCGTTATTCATGATCACAAATCATTAAAAGAGCACACTTAATTACTCGAGTAAACAAAAGCTGAAAATCTTGATTTGGTCACCATATTCTTGATCTGCAAATTCAGCCATGTTGGTGGTCTGACACAAACAAATATTTCATCAGAGTTATTGGCACAAGCCGAGATGTGCGAGAAACATTGTTTGGTAAATCTGAAGAGAGTGGTTGCAAATCAAGAATTGATGGTCTTATTTTAAATAATATTTTATCAATGATATTGTAGGCACCAACGGACGTGGGCAAACGACATTGTTTGGAAATCTCAATGGAATGATTGCAAGTCAAAAATTGGCTGACATAATTAGATCGATTACGAGAACCGTCAATCAGTTGTCAATTTTGCCAAGCAGTGGTCCAAGACATTGAACTCAATAAACTCAATATATAATCATGCGTGTAGCTACATATGCATCAAAAACTGCAAACCTTTGAAATCCTTCAAAGTTTAGAAGTTATAAACTTGAAACGAAGCTCATGGAAGGATTAAAACAAAGTGCAATCTTGACTTTTGTGCAGTTTAATGGTTTATTACATAAAAAGTTTAAATATACTATAACTGACTGTAAAGGAAACTATCTCTTGTTGATGGAACGATATAATACGTCATTTAAGAGATTTAAAATTGAACTTTAAGACGGTTTCAAACGTCAAACTTTGCATGCACAAAATGCATTCAAGACAAAAATAAATGAGATGAAATTCCTAATTATTTTTTTTTAAAATGCACTCGGCTCGTAAAAAGTTAAACATTTGAAATGGGTATAACTCTCTCACGATTTGTACATCTGCTTACTCTTGAGTCCATGTAGACAAACTTTTGAACAGCCTCTGTGAATATGAATATTACAGCAAAAAACGACGTCACGCTAATCATGACGAAAAAAGGTGCCAAAGATGTCCTGATTACTTCTGATGTCTAAACTTGGCAAAGACTTTCGAAGAGATAGACATTCACTGAAAAAGGTGATGAGGGGGAGAGGTCCTAGACATACAAGTGGTTTCAGTTTCTAAGTAGGCGAAGAAATAAGTGAAAGGATAACGAGGAAAGTCCGATAATGCTTCCTGTTGGCGCTCCAGTCGATACGAGAGACCTCGTAGGTCTTTTAACATCCACGACAACTCGATCTCAATTAAATAATCCGCGAACCAACATGAAAGAGATCCAGTTTAGCCATACCAAGCACTTTTCAATTGAGCATCGCATAGTGAACGGAGTCCTAGGCCATTGAAAAGTTGAGGTACATGATTTCTGAGAAATATTAAGGTGAGAAAAAAGCTGGTCTCACAGGAGCAATTGTGAAGAAAACAGTCTTTGGAAGAGCTAAAGAGGTGGGATATACGTTCATGAAATCATGAAAAGACGGAGCAATGAAAAAATGGTTCTATTTTTCTCTGCTGGTTCCCATGAATTTTTATTGTAGATGGAAGTCAGATTTTCTGATTTCCTCATGAGAAAGCGCTAGTGAGCGACTCAAGATTATTTGTTGACTATTCAATGTGTATCTAAAGTACCAACTATATATGTTATATATGTTATATATGTTATATATGTTAATGGGGTGGTGTTGAAAATTGATGGTTGTGGTAAAGTGGAATGTTAGGAATGTTAAGGTTGTTTTGGTAGTATTTGACTACGAACGACTCGAACGATAATAAACAATGTGAAAAAAACTTTATGATTTTTTACGGAAAACAATACATTAATCAGCATCTTACTCACATAATGAAGCTTGTTGCAAGATTACACAAAATATGATACCAACATGAAACCTTTGGAAAATAGGTTATTTGTGAGGATGAACATGGTAGGATATGGAAAGAAGCTGGAAAATCCCCTTTTAGCAATTTTATGGCTGGTTGTCAGAACTCAGCCTTCTATGACCGATCTTGCTGGAAACTGATTGCAAATTGTAAATGGCACAATCTACATACGATTAGCTACTATAAAATGCAGGAAGATAACTCTCATTGTTAGTATTAGATTTACACTCTTCGAGATTACTTTAAGACAACTTCATTCCAATTTTTGATTAAACCTTCCAACTTTACACTCAAAGAAGTTTTGGCTGGCTGCAAAATATAATTGTAGTTAAAAGAAGCTTTTAAATTACGGATTGTAGCAGTGGTATTTTCTTAAACTGCATCATGTCAGTGTGAAAGGTCCATTTATTAAGTTGAAAATTTGGTTAAACCTGTAAAAACCTGGACTTCATAACGTAAGTGTTCAAGCAAGTACTTGCACATTCTGTGGGTGTCTACAGACCCAAACGCCCATGTCTTGTAAGCCCCTGATTGACTTGTTCTTGTTAAAATCCGTTAAAAAAATATATTTGAGAAGGACTTTATCCTTTGAAGCCAGCACTTTTCACATTGACACTTACTTGGCTTCTTGATTGTGCCTTATTTTGCCGCGGGCAATGGCAAATCATGCTTATAAGAATAATCCCTCATCCCAAAAACTATGATCAAAATTTTCATATTGTGGAAGCGACATTGACTTTTATGACTTTATTTAGCAAAGTACTAGTTCAATACTAAGAAATATATATAAAGTATAGCTAGGGGCAAACCTAGCCTAATCTTTTACTCCTACAAAGCAAACTTTCAGTAAAATTAGAATAAGAGCTTATGAAGTTGATAGATTTAGTCTATTTGATTGTATTTCTGACGTTGAACAATTTCACTGCCTTCTGCCTTTTAATACGAAGATAATCTAACCTGCTACGATAATAATCCGGTATAGTGTAAACGTGGCCTGGGTACAGCACAAACATGACATGAAGCAATTTAGCGACAAATCTTAAAACTAATCAATATGTTGATGCTATAACTAAACTATTTTAATTGTGTTGATATGATTATATAGAAATGTCCATATATACGCATTGTCCAATACATGGTGCTAATTTGATATGAACTTAGTCTCACAATGTTCTCAGTAAAACATTTGAATTTGTCACTTAAAAGAAAAATCTTCACCTTCATTTCAGTTTTTTTAACTCGTAATTCAAAATCGAATCAGCCAAAGTACATTGGTTCATGCTTTTCAAGGTATCCACTAGTTTGCTCCGAAATTCAGTTTTACACTTGTTGGACAAGATTGACAAAATTTTCTCAGCCTTTATTTGTTCATTTTCATAATTCGTATCTGTTTGCACATTCTTAATTTCATAACTTTCCAAATTCATCAAGAAAGCCATTGTATCCCAGAAACTTGCTATACGACAACTCAGTTGACATATTTCCCGAGTAGTTAAAACATCTTCATTTCTGCTTGTCTATGAAGAGTTTAAATGAAAAGGATTGCAAATTTGTCATTGAAGATAAATTTTGTTCATCTAGCGCGGCTTAACACGAAAAATGACAAATTCCTGGTGTGCAAGTTACGTCAGAGATGCCATGTTAGATGATTTTAACAAAGGTTTTCCCCTATTTAGAATGTAAATGTCATGCCCCATGGTGAACAATCTATGTTCTCACATTCCCAGGGAAATGGTTGCACGCCACGTATATTGCTCTGGCATAGTTCATACTTTAATGAATTAAATTGACGAGTAGAGGATAAAACAAGTTCGAAACGTATAACGATAGACAACTTGAAATTAGGAGAGTTTGAGTACTTAGAGCAGTTAAGTATGTGAAATACTATACAGTGCTGAACTGCTCTGCAAAAAAATGGTGACAATGTGTGCCAAAATGTTGAATAAATACCTGCTTTGTGGGAGCCAAAATTTCATCCAAATAAAGATATTTTTTTTCAAGGCATTCCTTCAATAAATGTCGATCGAAATCTGTTCGTTCATTAAAGATCTCCAAAATCTTTTTAGCCTTTGCTGAGGGATTTGGAAAACTTTTGCGGTTAACATTAATTTCATGACGTTGTTCAATAGGTATTTCAAGAAGACCACCCAGTTCATTCCAATCAGTTGCAGCTTTCTGACTAATTTTCTCGATTTCCTCTGTTGTTAGTTTAGTGTAACGAAGATCAACTGAAACGCATCAACAAACAACATACATACAACACTAACATTCTAAACATAAGTATAAAGTAGTGTTGAATAAAAATCTAGCAATAGCAAAATTCCTCAGGTTAGTATTGTTTTGACAATAAACAAAACTCTGCTAAAGTTCAAGAAATTTTTTTTCTCATCAACCCTATTGTCAATGTAAGCTGTTGGTATATTTTATACGTACATTTATATAAACAGCTTAGGAGAAAAATGAGGTTCATTTCATATTATATTTCTGTCTTCTCAACTGTTTCATTCAAAAATCAATTATTTCACTTTTCTCATAACTTTATTAGTTTTCTACCAGAAAATAGTGTTGAGCACTATGTTACATTGTGCTAAGACCAACAAAAATGATCTCTTTTTTACCTTTAAAATTCCCAGTTTGCTGGTTTTCGTTAATCTTAAGAGTCCAAAGTACTTTTTCATTACCACTGAGTAATGTATCAACTTGAGTTATTTTCATCCATCCATTAACAGGGTATGGTATGTTACTTCCCATAAAATGATGAATTACGTGACCTTCGTTGTCAAGAACTTCGTCGTTAAAATCAAACGTAAATGTTGGAAACTTAGTTCCAGGAATATCCAAAATTAAATGATGTTTTCGATCTGTCTTAATAATCTCCAAATTTCCTTCCACTCCTTTAGTGTAGCCCTCTTCCAAATGATCAGTAAACTGTCTATCATTTCTCGTGTATTCACTGATGAATACGACAGATAAATCAAATACTTTGTTTTCTAACTGTGGCAACCTTCGATGAAATACAAAAACACGGCACTTGAAAGAATGATTCAAATGACTGAGGACTCGATGTTCTTTCAAAGACTTTCCAGCAAGGTAAATGTAGGGAGCACTTTCTGGAATATTTATGCTGATCAACTTTCTTACGACATCAATGTTCACATCACTTGTTATGTTCCAAGTAATGGACTCTACGTTGTCTATGTACGAGCCACAAAAAACGTAAGTGTTCTCCACAACCAATGCGGTCTCATGAACACGTACGCTCAAAATAGCAGGACTGTGAAATTTTATGCCCTTTGGAAGACAATTCAGAGAACAAAGAACTTTCAGGGAATTTTCGTTGTTCAAATATAATGGTATATTCCAGAAAGAAACACCATTATTCTCTTTAATCAACTTTATCATCGTTGGTTGAGCTACACAATTTGTATCAATAGTCAGCTTAATATCATCCAATTGTACAACACCACCATCTGCAGTAATTAATTTCTCCACTTTACGACAGCTACTTATACTACCTAAAAATCAGAAAAATAGTAATACTTTATCAGATTAGAAAGAATATAAAATAAGCAAGTTGAAATATTAAATTCTCACAAACAAGTACCAGCTGTGTCGTGAGTAATGAACCATATGAATTATTTACAAAACTGTATTTTATGTAAGAGTTTAATCACTCTGGTTACTCTACAATGCAGTTCCAAATCTTTATAACCGTATGCGAGCTGTTCTTACAAAGTGAAACAAGTCAACGCGAACCAAACAGAGTCAAGAACACTACAACCCTCAAAGAATTTTGTCTTTCCTTGTTTTAGCTTATCCACATCGATATGTGAAACATCAAAAACAGACTTATTTTGTTCTGATAAATCTGACGTTTCATTCCCCTTTGTTCTACTTTCGTCTTTATGATGATTATTACTACCTACAATTTTAAAACTGGACTGTGAATTATTGCTAAAATTGTAAAGATAGACTATGTTCAAGATACCAAACATTTTACAAATCAATAACGTTGAAAAATAAGGTAAATATTTTAATACACTAAATTGTATATCTCAATTTAAATCCTAAAAATCATCAGCTAATATTATAAGATAAAGATATGTCAGAATTGAAATACCGCTACAGTTTAGAATGTTTTCAGTTTGTTTGTAGCTATTGTTAATTTATAACACATTTACCGTGTTAAAACTGCCCTTCGTTTTAGCTATTTATTGTTCAAACTCTCTGTAGATGAATAATATATAGTAAACAATAAAAATTTAAGTAGCTAGCACAAAAAACTAGAACATAAGCCTTTAACTTCTTCTTTACCAAACTACATAAAGTAAATGGTTCAAAATAAATTGTACAGTTGTAAATGGTACAATAGTAAATGGTACAAAGTAAATGGTACAATAGTAAATGGCACAAAGTAAATGGTACTATAGTAAATGGTACAAAGTAAATGGTACAAAGTAAATGGTACAAAATCAGATACGCAAAAGGGGATAAAATTAAAAGTGAAAACAAATAAACGTGAAAACTATGAGAAATTCGCACTTTTGCAAGAAGTCTATCAATTTGAAATAAATCGTATGTAGCAACAAAATTGGAGGAAACATCCATTTGCAGAAAGTCAAGCCATTTGAACTCTGCAGATAATGTAATTAACAAATGTAAGTTTTGCAGTTGATTAAATCATCCAGTTTATATAAAACGTTGCAGAAAATAAGGGCTTATTTCAAGAACGCATCGATTAAAATTGACTTTTTGATCTGTCATTATATGTTTAGTGCACGATGACAACCTTGCAAAAATGCCCAGTGTCTAAGGGAAAAACTACAAAGTTAATTATAGGATGAATAGTCAGATATTCAGTTCTCTTCGACTGATTTATTTTGAAAGCAATTGTATATTTTTGAAAGAAATCAGTCAGGCAGAGCTAAAAATATATCTTCACCTTCGCAGCCAGAAAAAACGCGATCGTGTCGTGTTACAACTCCTTGTAAAATAAGCACATTTCAAAAGTCATATTCAAGTAGATGCACAAAAATCTGGAAAGCATAACCAAAGTACTTAAGAGGTAGCAATATCAGCATTAGTCAGTTCAAGAAAACTTCCTGGAAATATTATGAATTATCATGAGACACAATTTGTGACGATGATAATCCAAGACATGGTAGTCTATATGTCTGTCTTGTAAAAAGTCACGTGAACTTCTATTAAAATATCTAGTTGTTTTTAATGTTTGTCACATTATGTTTACAGCTAATAGTGAGAGCTAGCGGTAGCATTCTGCCCACCATTTATTATATATGTTCCTTTGTATATTTATACCTAAGTAAACACTTAAACCGTAAAAAGATTTTTGTTCTCACCTTCTCTTGCTTTATCCCCATCCATATGTAAAACATTAACAGAGGCCTTTCGTTCTGAAAAATCCGACATTTCATTCCCCTTTCTTTTGCTGCTTTTTCGGTCATCATCATCTTTATCTATAATAATTAACATTTGACTGTGAATTGTAATTGAAAATTTTAAGTTGTATAGCTTGTATTCAAGATAAAAAAATGGATCCAGCAGTATTCGATACATCGAACAAATACATGACACGCTTTCAAATTTTTGTTTGAAGCTTTAACTTTTATATCAATGTGCAAATCTGACTAGATTACACAAAGCCATCATCAGAAAATCAGTTCATGAATTCTAACGGTTATACGCACATAATAAACATGTGATCACACGAGATTTAAACTTTCACCATCGCCGCTCCGGATACCCAGTGAAGTTTACAGCTAGAAGATCAATTTCGCCGCCAGCTTTATATAAGCTAAATAAGCAAAGCCGCAGGAAAAAATGTTGCAAAATATTGTTTTTCTCATTGTCCACGACAAAATTCGCTCAACAAATGAATTGTGAAAATATTGCAGTAAAGGTTGTGTTTCCGCATTCGTTATAATCCATGAACATACCATACGCGTGTTTTATTTCAACGAAAAATCGCTCTATGGCTGCCAAACTGGCTTCATTCAATCAAATGGCTTTTTAAATGAATTAGGATTTCAATCTTTTAATAGAGTTAACTGGCTCTACCTGTTGAATTGGAGACGAGTCAAGTTTTTTATAAACTGCATACAGACTAGACATTCTTGCCACAATAGCAGTTTCCTAATAGCGCCGTGTTTCGACTTTATTAGAAAGCTATTTGGGAAAATTGATTGCACTCGAAAATGATAAATCCAGAAATGGCAGATTACATGTTGTACATGGCTATATGAAAACTATATGCGCATGATTCAAATGCAATTGCGTATTTGGCAAATGCGCATTATACAAGACGAGATTTACGCAAAAGAAGTTAGTATACCGTTATTGTTCATGGCTTCATTCGAGTTCTTTTCTTCAATATCCAATTTCCACTTCAAAACTTTGTTTCCACTTTGTGAGTCAAGTTCGTTCACCTCCAAATATCCTTTGGCAGGAAAGTTTACATGTATGTTGCTAAAGTGATCAATTACGTAGCCATCTTCATCAAGCTTTCCAATGTCTATTTTAAAGCTGTATGAATCAATTTCCTTTCCAGGAAAATTTAGCTGTATTTCATGATATCGATCCGTGTTGATATTATTGATATCTTCATTGTTATTATTTACGTGGAAGTCTTCCCAATCTTTGGCCAATTTTATCATTGGTGAATCTTCTAACTTTTCACGCACGAAAGAGCTGACAAAGACAACTTTAATATCTAATGTTTCCATTTCTGATGATCTTCGATGGAGTACATATGCATAAGCAACAAAATCTTGGTTGAGATGACATAAAATACGAGGAATAAATGAAAGAGTAGTTGTAATGAAGCTGTACCAAGAAAACTTGTAAATGTTTAGTAAAATCCTTGTTTCATTTACATCAATTTCTTCCGCCCACTTCCACTCAATTTTTTGGCTATCATTTGAGTAGGATCCATAAAGAGCAAAAACCACTTCCAAACTTTTATCTTTTCCTCTTTTTCCATTGATGTTAATTTGCAATTGAGCAGGTTTCAAGAAATGCAGGCCGTTAGGAAGACATTGCAGATGACATATGCTACTTTGAAGAAGTTCCAATCTCCGCAAACTTTTGATGTAGCTTGGATTGTTAACCTTGACCAACTTTATCATTGTACTGTTTTCTAAACAGCCAGGACCAACTTTAAAATTAACGTCGACCATCATCAAATTGCCACCACCAGAAGTGACCAATTTTTCCACTTTACAGGACGTCTCCTTTGTACCTAAAAATTGTATGTAATTATATTCATATTCTTCAACTCAATCCCATTTCAATGTTTTCAGAAGTTCACTAACTTGACTAGGGCTCAAATGAAACAGAAGGTTTGATATTAGGCTGACTACGTATGTTACTTTAAAACAAAGAATTAAGAATCTAACAACTAAGATATCAACAATTCATCATATAGAAGAAGTCATTCACATAATAAAGCTTCTTAACTATGACGTGTTTTTGGGTTCAAAATACATTGATCGAAATGACTTTCTTTTGCTTTTACTTTTGCTTTTAGTATTTGTCAAATTTATACAGATTTATCGATCTAAAAAATTTTGTAATCTCTGGATTTGTCGAAAGTTAATTCCTCGATTTCATAAATTCGTCGATAATGCTTTGCTTCGAATTCACCAATTATCTCACTGGCGATCTGCCACTAATTTCCACATGAAGATTAATTGTTGTAATAATCGGTTGATTTTCAGGTTTGCGAAATTAAAAATGTCCAACATAAGCATACTTCTAAAACTTATTAGCACATTTGGTCCTCGCAGCTGGCAAGCAGACTATTTAAAAATTGATAGCTATTGGCTACGGGTCTGTTATAGTAAAAGGAAAACTGTGAATCAGGTAATAGTAAAAAAATTAATACAAACAAGATTAAATTATACAAAGGAGCATAACGTTATTTACATGTAACAATATTTGTTGATTTCATACCTTTATTCAAAGACTGAATCGACTTTGTTCTTTCATAAGGTGGATTTTCCCGATTATACTAAAACATTATCGAAATGTTTATTGATTATCGGTAAGGTAAAATAATTTTATTGCCAAATACAAGTATATTTAAAGTTTTAAGCTTGTTTTTATGAGACTCATTAAAAATACTTTCATTGTTTGTACTCGATGTGCCTTTAAACTACCACAAAATAGAGAAACTTTACGCTTGCGCACATTTTTCATCTCTGTCTTATATGGTACTCTTTAAATATTTACGGTGTTTGTGCATGTCTTAATAGTAATTGTTGTTTGGTTTACAAAATGTTTTTGATGGTTTATATTTATTGTAAATCATCAATCAGGCTACTACAGTTTGAAGATTTCAATAACAAAGAAATCTTACGTATATAATGTATAAATGACATAAAGTTAATATTAATTTCTCATATTTATTACATGATTTCATGAGCTTTGTTGAAATTACTTCCGTTCACAAACCATTTCTAGTTTATACTTATATGATTAAATGGAAGTTAACATGTCAAAGCAGAAGTTCCCTGTTAGTTCAATATTCTAGTTGTTCTGCATTAACATTACGTACATGAACAAAGTTTCTTTAGTACGAGATTAGAAAGATTCATTTATTCTAAATATGTTTTCCACGAAATTTATTCCTGATATCGGTCAATTTTACAGTCGTACAGGACATCAGTAGATATTGCCCATCAGACTCCAATGTAATTGCTGTTACATTTCTTGCAAATTATATCATTATACATGGTATTATTTTAACGACCATATTCCACTAATACTGTCTGAGCTGAAATTCGAATTTAATTTATGGCTTGCTAATGCTTAGTATAATAGATTTTGTTGAGGTGTTTTTCAAACCCAAAAGACCTCTCGAGGTGACTAAACCCCTTTATTTTCTTTTGTCTTCACCTATTGAGTATGTTCATTCTAGTGCTCACTGCTCAGTAAAAGTTTCGATTTCTTTATTTTGGAGATAATGGCAACAGGTCTCTCACTTTTTCGGGTGCTATTACAAAACTTTTAAAATCGTATTCTGTACTACATAATTCAAGTAAATATATCAAGATCCATGCATATCTTGGCTGCTTCACCAACAAGTGTTTCTGCGCATTGTGGATTTTAGTGCAGATCCATTATTTTGCTGTGTTAGTGCAGCTATTTTTATTATAAGTGTGCACTTTCCCAATTCACATAAACAGCCATATTGGTTGGATTTTACAGCAAATAAAAAATTCTTTTGCAAAATTTTAAGTAAAAACCGTCTTTAAAATTAGTGATATGCTCTTGACTACTGTCGGAACTTTTCTATTTCTAGCTTTTTATAATAAAAGAATTTGTTAGGAGTGTGCTTTTCGTCACTTAATATCTTTCGGTTGCTTTTCGTGATAGGCAAACCAAAATTTTTCGCATTAAAATTGGTAATTAAATTCTAAAATCTAATATAGCAGAATAAAACTATGATACAGCATGTCTTTATACAGCTGTGTTCGTTAAACCAGAGAACGTCTTCAACGCAGTTACGACTCTTCAAATTCACTCTAAGAATCATCATCTTTATCATTCAAATATAGCGAGTTAACAATAAATGTAAAAATGATCACAAAGCAGCTTAGAGAGGGCATGAACTTTAATAGCAAATTAATAAAAAATAACATTACGACCCATTCACATATTGGTCGATAGCTGAGTTTTCATTAGCCTGTGCAAACCTATCAAAGCTCCATCAATTAAATACAGTATAAAATGAGTTCACAAAATAATCATCAATATAGTTACAGAAAATTAATACAGTAAACCTTAACTTAATTAGCATTGTTTTTAACTCATGCAAAAGTAATGCAACTGTAATTCAGACGAAATTCATAGCAAACACTTAAACTGTTCAGCGCACAAGGACATGTTCGAATTATTTATAAGCTGTATCCTTACATTAAAAAATATGTAAATATAAATGGATACCTGCATTGTGCGAGACAAAATTTCATCCAAATCAAGACTTATTACTTCAAGGCATTTATTCAATAAATATCGATCAAATTCTGTTTGTTCATTGAAGATCTCCAAAATCCTTTCAGCGTTTACGGAGGGGTTTCGATAACTTTTATGACTAACAGCAATTTTATCCCGTTGGTAAAACGGTATTTCCAGAAGACCACCCAGTATGTTCCAATCATTTGCAACTTTCTGACCAATTTTTCTGATTTCGTCTGGTGTAAGTTTGGTGTATCTAACATCACCTAAAATGGAGAAACAAAAACATAAAAAGCAACACAACTTTATTACATTTATCATCACAAAAATTGTGAAGGTTTCAGCACCACCTACCCACTCGTACCCCAATTTATTTAAAATTAACGAAACTATATGCATAGACAGTGTTTGTAGTATAAAAACTGGAAATGAGCATATATTTACAGACACTACATTATCATCCATGATGATCATACCGTGACTATATCTTTGTATGAAGAATCTCAACTATGAACTAGAAGGAGAACGACAGATTTAAAAACTGAAAGTCGTCCTCGGGAATTGTATAGTTTAGAAAAGTTTAAATGCAATCTATTTAATTAAGATTCACACAACTACCACGATCAAACACAAAGCATGAAGAATTTCTTAAAAATCATCAGTAATGATGCTACCAACGCCGTGCATAATGTTAAAAATGGCAATGAGCAACTGCTTGCATTCAGCTTACCCACCAAGAAAATAATTTCAAAAACTGACGTTAACGTCATTCATATCTTCATATATGTCTTGCCAAAGCCGAGATAGAAATTTTCAAGATGTTTTTTTAGAATTGGGAGATCAATCTTAGACATCAACAATATCTTAAGCGGGAAATCGAAAAGGGAGAAAAGAAAACAGCTCGGGTGAAATTCGTGCAAGATTTTTAAGAGCGACTGCAGCGCTAAGCAAGGTCGTAGTAATCTCGCCTTTATGTTTAAACCACGAATGGTAGGAACATTTAAGAAGTAGTTGGAAACTCAGCTCGTCCTATGCACCCTGAGAACACCTTTAGCAGTAAACATAGTCGACCTAGTGTGGAAGACTGAAAATTACTTATTTTTCAAGCTATTAGCTAAAGGCGAAAACAGGAACACTTTACATTCAAGCATCATTGATAGGACGATATTTTAGTACAATCATCTTATCAAGGAATAAGGATGTTTCTCCAAAGATCTCTGATAGCAAGGGCTTATAAACTACACGTAATTTGGTCGTAGACAAACGCGATAAATTGAACATATATCTACTTCAACATTTAAAAATATATTACCCCATAAGCATCGTGATAATTCGCTGAAAAAGATTCAGAAAAAATAGTGGCAGTTTATTTTTACGAACTTATAACAGCTAACAATGTGAGTTCCATAAGGTTTGGACGCCATATATACATTGTATAAATTCTGCCTGCATTTAGGGTGTGATTTTGATGTACCTACAATCAGGAATGGTTTTTCGGACATGAAACCACTGATCTCGAAAACGACTGGATCAAGCAACTGTATATTTGTAGTAAACAAATTTTGAAGCCACCGCCGCCGTTAGTAAGAGACCAACACATCGAAAGATTTTTTAAAAAAACTATGGAAAACATACTAACACATGGCCAATGCATGCATTAAGATAACGCAGAAGGTGAAAAACAACCTTTGTGGCGATAGTAAAGTGAGTCAGAAAGAATAATCGGCCGTATAAAACAAAACGCATACAGGTTTCACTCCAAATCACTTGTAAAAAAGGCTTGTAATTTTAAAGGATTGATCAGTTTATGATAGTTTGTACTTCTTGACCACGATTCCAACAGTTGTAGGTATTTCCATGCAGTTGTAGGCTATTTTCCATAGTTTTTCCATACCACAGTTGAGTTACCGATGCCAAAAATTGCTGCATTTTGATCATATTTCATCATATTTCATCGTATTTGTAGCTCTTCTATAAACTGATATATCCCTTAGTTATGTTCATGCAGTTATATGTTAAAAATTCTTGATTATTTGCGTACAAATCCACAAACTGATTTTCAGATATTATAGCACGGTGCATTATACAGAGGGCCGAAACTAGAACTTTTAGTGGGGTGGGGGAATGGGTGTTTAATAACGCTGCTGCTGAAATCTCGCTTACAGAACTCAATGGCTGTATCATGTTTGCTCAGATATTGTAGCACTGACCACTGTATAAAATCATAGAAAGATTGCGTGGCAACATAAATGTTTGTGCTTATCCTGTATGCTGTGTAATGTCTGTGACTAACAATGCAAAATGAATTTTTTGGGTAGCCGCTGCGCATGTGCGGCTAAATTGCTGCAATGTTGTATTTAAATCATACAACTAACAATGAGTTTATAGCTGTTATACATCTTGAGCAATGTTTGTTTGATTAAGATATTTTGTTTCCATCTCACTGTTCTTTAGAGCGGGTTTTATGTGTATTTTTTTAATTTATAGGTAGATTTTTGAATCATTCTTTTGGTTGATTAATATAAATATGAATCCCAACTGGTTTTAATTATTGCTTTAGCTCTTTTGTTTATCTTCAACTAAAATGAATAACTCAGTCCTCACTTGAAGCAATTAGTATGTCAATGAACCACTTAAATCTATGACTCTGAATTCATTATGGCCAAATTTCTTTGTATTATACTATGAAATTTGTGTGTATTCTTAGCCGACTGAAGCATATTAAAAGCCATCAATAAGCTACGGATGTCAAATAGTTGGAGTTGGACACAAAAAACATGAATTGAATTTGACATTAATACTATTGCTTTAGCCATTAATGTACCTATTGATTTGACAGATGCAAGACTTTGTGCCAGTATATTTTCCCTAAAGAACTGATTCTCCAGTTCAGTAATGTCTGTATATAGAATGTGGTTAATAGTTACGATATTCTCAGCAACTCTGTGACAAGTACAAGTTACAATAACACCTGTGGTCGAGACATCAATGCAGAAAGCTTCATCGTCAAGAGTTACACATTTTCAAGCTTATTTTAATAAACAAAGTGTCCAACATTTAGTACAAGAACGGCATAATACATTTGATTACTATTTATATTCATTATGGCTGTCAGCGTTAGCAAACTTCGTTGATGAACTTTATGACAAAATTGCGTCCTCCAAAGATTTATTAACCAATATTTGTATTGATAGTTATTTGTTTGATTCTTTTGCCAAATTTTGCGGAATAAAACGCGTATTTGGACACATAATTTAACAATATTAATGCTCCAGGCTGGCATTAGTTTATAGTAATATATTAACTAGCAGGGTGGGAGTAACTTATGACGTCACTATGCATTTGTAAAAATTCGCATCCGGTGGCGAAATTTAGCGTTAAAATTAAACAACTTATACCAAACCAAAAATGCTCAAACATACACCAAAATGTTTCTAAGAATCTATATTTTTCATTTGGCGGAAAAAGGATGGGGCGGAATTCGGCCGGACTTGCACTTTAACAAAATATCATTATCGCAAATGAATTACCAACATTATCATGTATATAATACCTACAAACTTACCAAAATATTTTGATGACAGAGAAACATGAGCAGGACTTGGAACTTTAAATTTACTCTGAGTTTTTTGAGCATCATATTTTTTAGGTTTTTCAGGTTTTTTTCTTTTTGTACGAAACCTTCTCAAAGACGCAGTGGGATCAATATAATCTTCACCTAAGGGTTGTTTTCTAATTTCCAGATCAACATGATTTGGACCTAACGATTGTTTTTTAGTTTCCAGAGCTTTTTCGTAAAACTCTAAAGCTTTGTCGTCATTTCCAGTTTTAACAAACACCATACCAAGATTGTTTAAAGACTCAGCAACATCAAGATGATTTGGACCTAACGATTGTTTTCGAAGTTCCAGAGCTTTTTCGTAAAACTCTATAGCTTTCTCGTAGTTTCCAGTTTTATAATACACCAAACCAAGATTGCTTAAAGACGCAGCAACATCAACATGACTTGGACCTAACGATTGTTTTTGAACTTCCAGAGCTTTCTCGTAAAACTCCATAGCTTTGTCATAGGTTCCAGTTTTATAAAACACCGTACCAATATTGTTTTGAAGACCTAGCGAAACACAATATGATTTTGACTCAATGATTGTTTCTCAATTAGCTTCATGCACCACATGATAATTTACTGATGGTGCTTTAACTTATATTGTCAATTCCAGTTTCAACAAACACCATACCAAGATTGTTTAAAGACCCAGCAACATCAAGATGATTTGGACCTAACGATTGTTTTCGAATTTCCAGAGCTTTTTCGTAAAACTCTATAGCTTTGTCGTAGTTTCCAGTTTTATAATACACCAAACCAAGATTGCTTAAAGACGCAGCAACATCAACATGACTTGGACCTAACAATTGTTTTCGAATTTCTTGAGCTTTTTCGTGAAACTCAATAGCTTTCTCGTAGTTTCCAGTTTCATAAAACACCAAACCAAGATTGTTTAAAGACCGAGCAACATTAACATGATTTGGACCTAGCAATTGTTTTTCAATTTCCAGAGCTTTATCGTGAAACTCAATAGCTTTGTCGTAGTTTCCAGTTTTATAAAACACCAAACCAAGATTGCTTAAAGACGCAGCGACATCAACATGATTTGGACCAAACGATTGTTTTCGAATTTCCAGAGTTTTTTCGTGAAACTCTATTGCTTTGTCGTAGTTTCCAGTTTCATAATACACCAAACCAAGATTGTTTAAAGACGCCAAATGCAATACTGGCGACTTGTTTTCTAAAACTTATAGCTTTCTCGTAGTTTCCAGTTTCATAAAACACCAAACCAAGATTGTTTAAAGACCGAGCAACATCAATTGATTTTTCAATTTCCAGAGCTTTTTCGTGAAACTCAATAGCTTTTTCGTAGTTTCCAGTTTCATAAAACACCAAACCAAGATTGTTTAAAGACCCAGCAACATCAACATGATTTGGACCTAGCAATTGTTTTTCCATTTCCAGAGCTTTTTCGTGAAACTCAATAGCTTTGTCGTATTTTCCAGTTTCATAAAACACCAAACCAAGATTGCTTAAAGACGCAGCGACATCCACATGATTCGGACCTAACGATTGTTTTCGAATTTCCAAAGTTTTTTCTTGAAACTCTATAGCTTTGTCGTAGTTTCCAGTTTCATAATACACCAAACCAAGATTTCTTAAAGACGCAGCAACATCAACATGACTTGGACCTAACAATTGTTTTCGAATTTCTAGAGCTTTTTCGTGAAACTTAATAGCTTTCTCGTAGTTTCCAGTTTCATAAAACACCAAACCAAGATTGTTTAAAGACCCAGCAACATCAACATGATTTGGACCTAACGATTGTTTTTGAATTTCTAGAGCTTTGTTGTAATACTTCATAGCTTTGTCGTAGTTTCCAGTTTCATAAAACACCAAACCAAGATTGCTTAAAGACACAGCAACATCAACATGACTCTCACCTATAACAATTGTTTTTGAATTTCTTGAGCTTTTATGTGAAATAAGGACTTAGAAAGGATGATACTGTTATTGTCATGCAATGGTATTCGTCGATTTCTTACCTTCATATAAAGGTTCAGGTGTCATAAATCTTGAAAAAGGTCGATTTTCACGATCAAACTAAAACATTATTGAAATGTACATTCTACTATCAATAAAACAAATTAATATTACTACAACAAGTACAAGTAATTAAAATCATAAGCTTCGTGCGTTGTTACATTTATAAACATTCATCTTTTTTTACGCCTTGCCATTAAATCATCTCGAATTAAAGAAATAAACTACGGCTGTCGTACATATTTTTATCAGTGATTTTTGCGTTAATGCTATTTAAGTGCTAATGCTAGTAAAAACTGGGCAAGTCCAAATTAAACTTTCTGATGGTACTTCTTTTTTTGGTTCTAAAAAGTAAATTTCCTTTCACTGTTAGGAACTTTCTTTCATTTTTGCTGTGATAACACAAGACGTAAGGAGTATGCTTGTCAGAACTTAGTACTTAATTTTCAATTGCTTTTCGCGAACTCATAAATCTGATACAAGTATTAAGACAAATTGTAATGGTAAAGGTCTGAAATTAAGCTGGAGTTTCAAAACTATATGCCATGTACGCAAGCTTTAGCCTAGCTTTAACACTACAAAACTGAGTTCATATATTGATTTTATATTCCATCGAATTGGTAGCATCAGTGATTTAGTTTTGGAATGCATTAATCTGTTTCTTCGTTTCTTATATCAAATTGACAAAAAAATGAAAGAAACTTAAGAAGATTTTACAGTTTTCAAGTCAATATCTAGACAATGCACCGTACTGTTCTTTCATTAGAGATCTTTCTTATAATCTACAGTTGATGACACGTAACTTCATGCAGGGCTTAGCCAGAACTCTGATATATTTTTTAAGGGGGGAGGGGGAGAGGGCAAACTTTAAACCTAATTAATGATAGATCGCTTTCCTTAAGTCAAAAATTTATGATTTGTTTCTTATAAAAAAGATGTTCTATCATTCTGGACGTTATTAAAGGATTTACCAGACACTCGAGCTTATCAAATTAAAAATATTAATTTTAGAAAGTTTCCACAGCTCCTGAACTGGTTGAGAATGCTAGAGGTTTTTCAATAAATTGCAAATTTGCCAGCTAAGTTTTTGTATGTGTCGTTCTGCTGTAACTGTTTTTATAAAATAAGCAGCAGCCTGGTAATTCTACATTCATTAGGCATAATTGATAAATCTAAATGAGATTTTCTTAGATTACGGTAAGAATAGATCTAGTACATTAAAACTTATGCGGTATTTTAGATGTATTGGTCTAATATCAACAATCACGTCTTCTAGGGCTCTTGTCTAACTCCTGTTTTAGCAAATGTAATCCTTACTGAATTTGGATGTTTGATTGACTCAGAACTTATTCAAGACAACGCGATTATAGTTTATCAGAGATAGGTTGATAACATACTTTCCTAATTAGACCCTCTTTCATTTTGAAGGTTCTTGACAAATTTTTCATTTTTTATCCCCATCTAAAATTTGATTACTGTTGACACTTTAGAAGATGATGGTCTGACAACTATGGCAAAACTACTAACACTGGCCTATACTGTCGTTTCACTAGCTTTGAACCTTTTCACTATTAAGAAATGTCTTTTAATTGGTTCCAAGAACAAGACACACGTATCACCTCGAGTGCAGTATAAAAATTACTGGCTAAAACAACCAAAGCTAAGTTTTTCTGGATGCAACAAAGACAACCAATTAAAATTGAATTATAGAAAGCTATTACCAAAATGTAATTGATTGTTATAAAACTTTTTTTTGTTTATCAGTAGCGTAGCTAGTCCACATGTTTTAGTCATACTATGTAAATTTTAGAATATTTACATTATTCATTTCTTTAGAAATCTATTGTTTTTACAGTAAGTGAACACAGAAAAATTAATATAGCAGGACCAAATTTGCGAGCTGGCAACACCACTGTTGTTTATACGATTTTTGTTTGGTCGAAACAAGCTTTTGAAAATGGCTGAAACCATTTTTACTTTAAGCCAGTATTTCTTTCAAGGTGAACATGTTCAATTTCTCACTTAGCTCCACGACCATGCAATTCTTACAACCTAACAACATTCATACCCCTGATCTTGGCCATACTCCTTTAGAAAACGTAATTTTAAACCATTTTCACATTTCACATGCTACGAAAATTACTAATTAGAACGCGCTTGCCTTCCCATACAGTCTAATATAAATCTAAAAAGTCTTGAAAAGTAAAAAAAATTAATGTTGATAAGTTAACATATTTTAAAACTTGCGAAATGCTCCTGTAATTAACTAAGAACGTTGACGACGAGTATAAACTTAATTCATATCCGGAAGACTGGTATCACGATAAATAAACATTAAAACAAGTCTGTTCAAGTCTAGAGATTCTCGTATGGGACATGTATATACAAAATCAGTAATATTTCTTTATTTTCAAAAAATCTTGTTAGACCATACCATTCCTTAATTTTCAAATTAGATTGGAAGCTTTGAAAATATGATTCTAAATTGTGATTGAGGGGGGCGTTAATTGTCTCAAAGCTTTCAAAATAACATTTTGAGTATGTATAGTGTCTACTGCAATTTCGATAAAGTTTTTCGCTAACACTCATGGCACTAGCCCCTGAGAACATATTAGAATTGTTCACAGGGTGAATACTTAAAAAAAAAGTATGTAAATAGATTCCTAATGGTTACCTGTTTTGGTAAAGACAAAAATTTTTCCAAATCAAGATGTATTCTTTCAATGCAATTATACAATATGTATCGATCGAATTTCTTTTGCTCATTGAAGATCTCCAAAATCTTTTTAGACTTTGCGAAGGGATGTGGATATTTTAAGTGGTTTGAAGAAATTTCTTTCAATTCGACTGAAGGTATTCCTAAAAGTAAACCCAGTCGATTCCATCTAGTTGCAACTGTCTGACTAATTTTTTCGATTTCCTCAGGTGCAAGTTTAATGTATCTATGATCATCTAAAATGGAGAAACAAAAACATGTAACACCAATTTTGTTACACCACATGAAAAAAAAAACTAGACGTCAGAATGGGAAAAGAAGAGGTGCAATTACCCACCGTTGCATGGAAACGTTTGGCCTATGATTAATTTACATTAACCCAAACCGTATAAATACATAGTGTTTGTAAGAAAATTGCTAAAAATGAGCACTTTCATAATAAAAGCTAAGATTTTGTCCTTCATGATGATATAGAAGTAGAGGTTACCCTTGTCTTCCTTTAGTGTATTCATACACCTCCTATTCTTTTGTTTTTCTCTACGCTTCTTACTGTGTACATAACTGATAATTGCCTCTATCCTATCTACGTAGGTCTTGTTTGT